CTCCATCAAAGTGCAAGCAAGATGTTGCCCAGGCTGCAAAAGGTCAACCCCCTTCCCTACCAAATGACTGGTCTTCTGCATATGGATAACTTGAATTTATTTGCAAAATGTTGAAAGGGCCTGTCAGAAATACTGAGCTGTTTAGTGAGAACATGCACATGACACCTGGAATCCAAACACTAACAACTCTAAATGTAATCAGGGTCAGAAGAATGTCACGATGGACCGATGTATGGTGACTAAAAAAACTACAGCTAAAACAATGTTTATAGCTATTAAAACTGCTAGAATGATCCAAAATGACTCACAAAGCTCAAGTTTTGCTATACAAAAGATGTATGCTAAATTTCAAATTTTATCTCAGTCTGACTGACCATATGAAGCTCTCCTGGATCTGGTCTATGCTATACAGCTTACCACAATCCAAGCTGGTAGTGTGATTTAAAAAAAAATAATAATGTTTTCCCGTTGTGTTGTTTCCCCTCTCTCTCAGAGCTCAGGAAGATTCTTTTCCCATAGTTCCTTACTAGCTTTCCATTCCAGAAGTCAGGACTTTGGAGAACCACAGACAGTAAGTCAGTCTCCATTCGATGGTTTGAAATCAGAACTCTGCAGCGGGCAGTTATGATAAGCCTTGTTTCCTGGGCGCACAATACAAACATTCATAATGCCTCTGCCCCCATCACATGACATCATCACAGAATTCTTGAGGTGGATACCCACCTCAATGCACTCACTCATTAGATCTCTTATAACTTTTCTAAATGAACAGGTGTGTCATGTGACAACAGAAATCTCCCTGCGGTCACTGCATCATCTGGACTGGACCTTCCTCTGAGTCACAGCATTGTTCCATTCAGACCAGATCTGAACAGGGTCTCGAGCAGCAACATCCGTCAAAATGGACTTAAACCCGTAGCGTTCAGCAGATGCTACCCCAAATCCTTTCAAATGGAGATGCCACTGTTGGAATCTGTGTCTTTCTGCATGTCAAGTAGGCGTTCTGCCACTGTTCTAGGGAGCAACTAATCCTTGACACCTCCCCTGGCTTTCCGCACCACACGGCACCAGGACAAGTACGGTCCTTCTATCCTGGCTCTGATGCCAGATGGAGCAGAAATGCAAGAGAGCCCAGCAGAGCAACAAGGCTTTTTGACTGGCTGGCACCTCCGGATTGTTTTGACTCTGGCAGGCACACAAGATGGAACTTCATTAAAAAACCCCATGATTTGATGCAAAGTAATGTCAAAGTGTAAACACTTGACTATTGCATGCCAACTGTCTAAAATATTCAGATATTGAGTGCTATTGCATACCAGATCAAAGACTGTCAAATATCAATTGCAAATATCAAACCATGAAACCAGTTCTCAACAAACACAGAAAATAAATATTTGGCAAATATCCAGCATTCAGAGAATACCCAACATCAAAATGTATGTAAATTTTAAGGAGAATGTTTTGGAATCACCTTGGTTTCTGAGCTAGGGGAAAAAACCCCACACTCCCCTGCTGTAACTAAACACCATTTTTAACTTATTCTTATATGCCAACAGGGCAGACATAACATGTTGTGTGGCGCGTCATTTATGCTAAGAGGTGTGGGATACTGAAGCTGGTTTGCAGGGCACACGGTCTACCCCCAGGCTATGGATCTTCCTCTCCTCTCTCATTTCATGTGTCAATGTACAGACCCCTAAACATCTGTGGCCACCCCACCAGGCTTTGTGGGTCCTAACAGTCCCCTATGCTCCAAGCTGCATGTTCACAGAAATAATGTGATTCGTTTTTTAACTGTACCAGTTCACAGTGTGGCGGAGGGTAGAAGTGCATTCCTGAATGCTCCCCCTCAGCATTTAACCAACTACAGAATCCCAAAACACCGTGCTATACGGAGCCATGGTTACAGCTTAGCTGGAGTAGCTCTCGCTTACCTGACCGGGAAGGAAGATCCTCTTCCAGTTATGTCAAGAGGAATTCTGACTGGGAGGTAAAAAAAGCAGGGAGGACAATGCCACCTGCTGGTAGTTGTGGGTTCTAAGGGGACTGGTCTGCTAAGTCTGAGTTTGCTTGGGGAGGATGCAAAAGTGTTTCTCAACAGCTGCCAGCCAGACTACTATTTCAGCTGCTTCTAATGGGGAGATTTTCAGGTGGGTGACTGTAACACATGACACATCAAAGAAAGAACATGAACTCTGCAGTGACCATTATCTTGTCCAGGCTGGGCAGTGAGCAGGTGCTGGTTAGGATGTTGATGCTAATCGATATATTTGAACATGGAAATCATGTACCTCATGAAAAAGTTCATGACATCGAAATATTTGGCAACAATTTCATACTGGTAATGGTCGACTCAGGTTTTTTTTTTTTAAAAAAAAATCCGATACAGTTTCTCCTTTCAAGTTTGTTTTGTACAAGATGCAAAATATGTGTAAACTTCATGGATGAACTGGAATTTGATCCAGAGTCTCCCTGGTCCTAGCCCAACACTCTAAATTCCTACGCCACACGGCCTGTATTGAGATGAACAGGGTTATCGCCATGGGTGTGGGGCAGGGGCTAGGAAGACAAGAGTCCAGGGGCTCCAATCACTCGGGGGAGGCATGGAACCAGAACACCATGCCATTTGTTTTCAAGTTGTTTTGGGGATGGGTCTGGGTAGCATGAAGGGGAAAGAGAGAATCTTTGGCTGCGAGTCCACGGTGGCTCTTGGCAGCCCTGCTGCTGCACCCCCAAGTCTTTGCTAGGTTAGGGCGAATGCATTTGGAAACCATTTATTACAGTTTCATGCCAGCCTCTCTCCAAATGTTCTACAGTCTTCATGAACAAACTTTAAAGATATCCTATCCCCCTCCTTTCCTTACATGGGTACTACAAGCTGGGTAGTAATTATCTTGGTTCCTAGGTATTTCCCCCCACCATTTGCGTACACATGTACACGCACACAGAGAATTTGGAGTCAGAACCTGATCAGAGTAAGCCATGTCACAATCATTCCTCTGTCTGAATTCAGTGAACCAAGAACATTATAATGCAAAATGCCCACGGCTCATTTTTAAGCAGGAACTCCTTTGCATGTTAGGCTACACACCCCTAATGTAGCCAATCCTCCACGAGCTTACAGAGCTCTTCTTACAGGGGCTACTGTAAGCTCTTGGAGGATTGGCTACATTAGGGGTGTGTCGCCTAATATGCTTTAACAGTGTTCTGTGGTTATATGTCAGCAAGAACCTTTGCCCCCTGCAGCCCCATCAGTTGCACCATCTATCAGCTGATGTGACCACATTTCCCCCTCCCCAGCTGCCACAGGAATGGAGAGAGAAATTGCTTTGACTCCCATGGTCTATGAATATCGTGGCTGGGTCCCGGCCAACCCTGACAGTGAAGCATCTGCACCAAGCACTGCTGTTCCCTCTGCAGCTTTCCTTTTATCCAGATCAGCCATGCTTTGCCAGCCTTCTGCCCAGCAGCAGCTGAGTCTGGCTGCCTTATTTTATGGGATGTAAAAAGAAGGGAGATTTTTCAAACAGTGTGAAGCTGCTTTATGTAGGGTCAGACCACTGGTCCATCTGCAGTCCAGGACGTAAACCGAGAACCTTAGGCAAGTAAAGCGCTTGCTCTGTCTCTACAGCTCCTTGCTATAATCGTTCACTTACATGAGGACAGTAAAGCAATTCACTCAAGAGACACCAAAAGCATGGGGGGGGGGAAGCGCGGCTACATGTGCCTTCTGTCCCTGTTGCTTGCAGCCGCTGAGAATCAAACCTTCCCCTTTGTCTGCACAGTCTCTCTCTCTCGGGTTCTTTTCCATGCTGCGGTGATGGATTGTTGAGCACATATAGATTAAGTTATGCGAAGAGATTTTCAAGCCATGAGCCCTTTATTCCAGCGCATGTTAAAAGACCGAAACAGCAGCAGATGACACTGAATTGTTACTCATTTATCTGCTGAGCGTGCTCTCAATACCTCTTCCTTAATCAGAAAATTACTTTATTGCAGGGTTGTTTTTTAAATAAGTATTGATATGCCAGTGAGGAGACATAGGAAGCCACAATCCTGTTCTGCTGAAAAACTAACCAAGTGTCTGAAGTGCCTTCAAGGGAACAATATGAGTCTGTTAAATGCCACAGTTGTCTTCTGCATCAAAGGACTGAACACAGAGAGGTTTTGCAGAAAATCAGATTGAGATTGTTCTGCACAGCTAGGTGCAATTCATGAATCTAAGCTGGGAGTTAGCTTTACCCCAGAAAAGAGTTCAGGAACTCGTGTTATACATCAAACATAATGTAGCAACGTAAGCTTGGTGATGGGCATTAGAAATACAATCTATAGGCAGGGAGAAATAATTTCTCAAGGAAACCCAAAAGATTTGAACACTGATCAGCACTTCTGAACAGATATGGAAGGAGAGAATCAATTGCTGATAGTTATCAACTTTTGTTGGGACACAGATCTGGTGCTCTGAGTCAGAACTTTCATCTAAAGGCACACTATTCTCCTGGCTCTCCTTTAAACTGACCATGCCTCTCTCAGTTCTGGCCCAACCACCAAAGAATTCAAAGCCAGCATAATCTTCAGGGACCATTATTATGTAATAGATCTGTTCTTCCACCATGGAGATGAGAGCAACATCCTCCCTTCCCAATCCTCAAAACATCCCTGGTTAGGCTGAAAATACAGCGAGAGCCACTGTGGCGTGGTGCTTAGAGTGTAGGAGTGAGATATGGGAGACCCAGGTTCAAATTCCCATTCAGCCATGGAGCTTGCTGGGTGACTTTGGACCACTCATCATCTCTCAGCTTACTTTACCTTACCAGGCTGTCGTGTGGAGAGAAAAGAGAACCATGTATGCTAAGCTCCTTGGGGAAGACCAGGATAAAAATGCACTAATGTAGGTCAGCAAAGTGACCAGACTCACAAGGTCACCCAATGAGCTTCCTGGCAAAGACCAGGATAAAAATGCACTAATGTAGATCAGCAAAGTGACCAGACTCACAAAGTGACCAGACTCACAAGAATGGGGATTTGGACTCCAGCCTGCTCAGTCCTAGTCTAACCACCCTGGCCAGGGACACTGCAATATAAAAGCTTATTAGGATGTGGCTAAGGGAAGCATATGCAAGTGCACTGCTTGAGAAGTGTAGCTCAGATCACCTTTTGCCACACCTCTTGGATCACACATTGCTTGGGCGAGCAGAGTTGTAATTCATGATCCCAGGGGGTGTTGCAAAGGATGGTGGGACATAACTCGTAAGTCACATTCTGTGCTGTCTTGTGGGAATCTACTGCTCACTCTTCTAATTGTATTTTTCTCCCTCCCACATCAACAACATAATTGCCCAGCCAGTTACAATATTTCATTATTGCTCAGTTGGTACCTGAACTCAGTGAACCAAAATATCCCTTTCTGGGAGATCACAAGCAGTGGTTGAAAACACTTAATGGAGAAAACTGGGCAGGACGGCATTTGATGACATATTTATTTCTGCTATGCTGTACTTGTGGAAAAGACTGCCAAATACAGACTCCTTTTTCCCACCGGATGGGATCAGCAGAGTGGATGCATTTCTGACACAAAACACTTCCCCTGCACTTCCTAGCACATCGGCCACTTACATTCAACAGAGATGCATTAAATGCAGAGAGATGGTTATGTCATTCTGAGGCTCCATGTTACAGTGCCTACAAACTGTCACAGGGACTACTCGGCTGGAAGATTTGCCAAGCGTTCATTTTGTGAAGGGTAGACGTTTCCATGAAATGTGGGGATGGTTAGACATCCCTTAAGTTTTGTGCATCTACAACACTGGTCTTCTGGCGTTTGCCCAGGGAGACTTCTTCATTCCTTGGGCTGCCTTCACTTCGTTCCACTCCAGCTTCACATCAGGAACTTCATCCTCAGGCTCAGGGTCTTCCCTGGGGACCCCTTGGGGTGCAGCGATCACGATGGGCAGGGGGCCACATTCCTCACGAAATTCTACCACATAGAGGCTTTTCTTATTGGCTAGGGCTTGGTGAGTTTCCTGTACGGGCAAGATAAAAGGAGAAAGTTCTAAGCTAAAAGGAATTCCCCTTATCCAATTCCAAACCTAGCCTGCTGACCAGTCTTGATGTTTTGTATACCTAACTACAGGTAAACAGACATGTTATCTTTTCCCTAAACAAACAGATGATGCTTTTAGGATCCAGGAGAGCAGCAGACAACCCTTAAAGCACTTTTGTGAAGCAGGCACCTGCTGAAGGTAAAAGCCCCGTTTACAACCCCCTTCTTTTAAAGTACGCTTAAAAATGACCTCCTTTCCCTTCCATCTCTCTAGCCAAGTAGTTTCCCTATCAATATGCTGATGGTCCCACAAAAAGGAGGAAATTTGCAGAGACCCACATAAGTGCCTATAAGGCCCCTTTCCACCTGAAGAAGCCCTCTTCTAGCCTGCACGCCACAAATGAGCAACATACAGCACCTTCAATACTAACTTTCCTGCTTGGGCAGGAAAAGATAGGATACTGCTCTGCAAATCTTTCCTAGAACAAGGTCAGGAAGAAAACAACCTATGTTGTTGGCACTGGAGATAAACTAGTGATGGAATCAAATTGCCTGTTCTGTACACCAGCTATGGAGAGGGGGAGAAAGGCAATAGAATGAAGTGGAGCTTGATCTGCTCTGTGATTTCCTTCAGGTGTCCTTGCATTAACACGATTCCCCCCACCTCAGACTTCTGAAGGCCTGGCAGTAGGTGTCCCATGCCTGCTACCTCACTGCCTCTAGACAGTCTCGCCAAGGGAGAGGCATCATCAAGGCTCTTCCGTACCCTTCCAATGACCACAGCCCGCAGAACAGACTGGAGTGATAGACGACCTTCAGTTCTGGTGGCAGGATCGTGATTCATGGAAGGGAACAGTGTGTACCCCTGTGGCTGTAGGGGGTAAGAGCCTTATACCTCTGGCAGTGGTTGCCAAATAGTCCCTGCTCTTTCCTGCTCCCCCAAATTGTCTCAGCCACTTGTTCATGGCTGGCTGTGCTAAGTCTCAGGCTGGCCTTGTGCTGTCCTGTCCTCCTCCTAGTTCCATTAAGCCCACGCTCCTTCATGAAGAAGTGCCATGCTGGGACTGAGGTTTATAGCCAGATTTTGCACGAGAACGCAGTTCCTGTAGTGGGCTCTTTTGTGCAAAAATCATAAGGGTGAACATATATAACTGGGGCAAGCTTTCACCCAAGACTGAGAGCTGCAGAACAGTATTTAACTTCATATATACATGGCTCATATCACGTCAGTTTACCCAAGATCCCCAGCATTCCTCAATTTTATCTTCTAAAGGCTGGTACAGATTCCTTGCTTCCGATGTCTTAACCATTGTTAAGGGATCGGGAACGTCTATGGGGCTTCTGCGCTCCCTCCCCACTCATCTTTCCCTTTACTGCTCCAGCCATGGCTCAGGCAGACATTAGCATCACTCTTAATCATGATTAGGATGCATTCCAACTGTAGCTGTCAGCTGCTGGCATTTTAACCCTGGTTGAAGCCGGCAGAATGGAAGTGGGAGAAATCTGTCTTGGGCTGAGACGGGAATGTGTGATCACACCTCCATCCTGTCTCCTATAACCATGGTTAAGAGGCTGGGAGCACCACACATGCACTAGGCTGCTTTCTGGTAAGACAACTGAAATTGTAGAACCATTTCTGACTTTGATTTTCAAATATTTAAACCCTCCCCCGCATACTGGCACAGGGAATGGTGACAAACCGTAACATCTCTAGACTATGCCTGCCTATAGACCACTGGCTATAAATCCAGCTCCTGCAGTTCAATAAACACAGCCTGCAGTTGCCTACTCTGTAATTTACCTGTCTTGATAATCCCTTGAAGAGCGCTTTGGTGAGATTCAATAGATTATTAGATCCATAAAGTTTGGCATACATGTCTTTAATCCCAATCAGTTTGCACATAGTAATGATAGCTCGGTGACAGTGAAGTCCATGTCCTGCAAAGGGAAAAAGGTTGTTGCTAATTATTATTAACATTTACCATCAATGTGGAATTAATATGGCAAATCCTAGATTTAATAATTCTGAGCTATTTAACACTATCTACACTAACAGGTCAGGACCTGTTTCTGGCTCCTAGCTAGATGTGGCAAGAGCCAATGTACTGTAGTGTGTAGAGGTTAGAGAGTATTAATGTAAATGATGTTTGGTTTTCATCAGGCCGCGATGACTCTTGAGTCCCTATCACACCAACCTTCTGACAATCTTCAGAGATTAGTCATTTCAGCTATTCTAACAGCAAACAACCAGATACGCATATGTTGGCCTCAAAACCTCCCTCCCTCAAGAAATGGAGAATCTAGTTACTTTCCTTTAATGCAAATTGTAATGCATGCCTCCTAAATATATTTCTTGTCCCGCATAAGCCTCTGGCATGGTGCACACTGATGTCTTCTTTTCTGTTCATACTAGATTATCACTAAGGGATTGGGGGTGTGTGTGTCTGTGCTGAAACCAAATTCTATGAATTTCCAGGTGAAAAAACCCACCCCAATATGGCAAAGACTGAAAGCATGATTACCCCTGATAGATGGATTTCCTTCTTTCAGAATTTATATGATGACTGTATTGAGACCCCTTTTCCTGATATGAAGGGGGGACCTTCATTTATGGCTTCCAGTTAGCCACCAAGAAATTAAATCATATATAGCTTGTTTAAAAAATGGAAAGGCTCCAGGTCAGGATGGTATTCCTCTTTAAGTCTTAAAAGAAAAACCAGATTGGTGGACACAAGTTCTTGTACCTCTGTTCACATACACTGACCAAATGGATCGTGTTCCTAAGCAATGGAGTACATCTATTATAGTTCCTATCTTTAAAAAAGGTCAAAAACGTGATCCAGCAAATTATAGGCCTATTAGTCTTATAAGCATCATCAGTAAATTGTATTCGAGACATCTACTTGATAAGTTTGAAATGTGGTTAGAACAAGATGAGATTATATCACTGAAACAAGCTGGCTTTAGGGCAGGAAGATCAACAATGGAGCACTGTATGGTACTCCAACAGCTAATCGAGAAGTACTTGGCCATGGATGAACCTCTCTATATGCCGCCTCCATCAATTTGAAGACAGCTTTTGATTCAATATCATGGCAGAGATTATGGCAGAAACTAGAACCTGCCACGATTGACAAAAGATTACTATTTCTTATACATGCCCTCCATGAGAAATCTTCCCTTAGGGTGAGATATAATAAACACGGGGTATCTTACTGACCTAGTTAGAACTTTTAAAGGAGTCAGACAGGGCTGCCTTCTTGCTCCTTCGCTATTCAATTTTTACATCAGCGACATGATTAAATATTTGACTGACCTAAAGTTTCATCCACTGACATTAGCTGTACGCCACCTAACATTACTGCTATATGCAGATGATGCACTGTTATTAGCAAGAACTCCAGTAGGTCTACGGAGGGCACTAGACAGTTTCTCGACATATTGCAATAAAGAACACCTTACAATTAATTACAGAAAAACAAAAGTAATGGTATCTGGCAAATGGCCGAAAAAGAAAAGTTAGTCAATGAATGGGAACAAAATTGAACAGGTTAATAAGCTTATGTACCTAGGGGTCGTATTTCAAGATAATGGGCATATGACAGCTCACTGTAACTTGAGGGCGGACTGTGCTGAGAGATCCGTGAACGCAATTCTAAGATTCTTTTGTGTCAAAGGTGGCTCTTATGTCCCTGCAGCCCTAAAAATTTTCCATGCCAAAGTCATTAGCCAACTTCTTTATGGCACTGATATAGGGATCCTGGTGACTAGTTTACATTTGCTGGAGAAAATACAATCTAAATTCCTTCGATCTATTTTACAAGTCTTTACTTCCAATTCTTTACTTGATTGAAAACCGGACAAATAAAAATTGAAGCAATAATTTTTCTTGCCTCAGCATTCTCCTGGCTTAGGTTACACAAAAATGTAAAAGGTCGATTCCCTCTAATAGCTCAGGATCAGTACCAACCAAAATGGATACGCTTGACGGAGGGTAACTTAAAGTGTATAGGTTTCTCTCTCTTTTTTTTTTAAGCCCCCGGAGGGGATTTTTTATTGCATTTTTTTAAATAACACTACAAAACTACAACAGAAAAAAGGGAGGGGGAACT